GCTAACCACAAGGTCAGTGGGTCAAACCCACCAGGTGCTCCTGGGAAACCCTATACAGGGTCATTATGAGTTGGAACTGACTAGACAGCATTTAACAACAATATACAAATGACAGTGAAGGCAGTGATAAACAAATGCACCAACAGAGAAAAATGCATGAACTCTAAAGGGCAGAATTCAAGAACATAATCCTAACTGCCAAGCACAGTGACTAGAACACAGCAGACATACAATCAATGTTTTCTAAATGAACTAACTCCCAAGTATGGATTTATTAAAAGAAATCATATCTGGTATGCCAACCACAATGGTTTGGTTTTGTTTCAATAATTTTATTTTTGGTGACAGTATATACAGCAAAGCCCATTTCCATTCAATAGTTTCCAGACAAAACCATCAGTGGCATTGATTACATTCTATAGTGTGTCAATATTCTCCTTGTATCTGTTCTAATTACTTCACTCCCATTGACTTAAACCTTCCGACCGCTCCCCACACCCAGCCTCCCTCCCACTCCTCTTTGCCATGCTTTATAAGAGCTGTTGTCCATTTGGTCTTCTATAGATATATATATTTTTTAATTAGTTTTTTAAGATAATTTTTAAAAACAGTACAATAATCAAGGGTGATAATCCAAATGGTCGATTTTAGATAAGTGGATTTTCCCCCACGAGAAACTCTACCTTACTAATTTTTGTATTCTCCATAGCACTAAACAAAGAGAAAATGCTCAAAACATGATGTTGAGCAAATGAGCAGGATCAGCTAGTAACAGTGACCTGAACTTGTAGAGTATTCTCTTCGCTCTTCTATTCATGGATCTTCCTCTAATGCTACCAATTTGCAGGGTGAAATGTTCTGGTGGAGAGTTAGGTTTGACTGTATCTAGAATAACATCTATTTTGTAAGACAGGTGGGGTTCCTGAAATTTTTCTGTCAACAGAGACGGAGTAGAAATCAGAAAGAGCCCTTACTCATATGGCCAAATTATAAAGTCTTCAAGAAAAAAAAAAAAAAAAAGGAAGTGCTGCCTTACATCCATGAGATTTTAAAAAGGAAAAGATGTATGGAAATATTGAACTCAGCATCATCAGGGAATTACGATTATGAGTATTTTCTAACAACAGAATCCTATTTCCTGGTTTTTAAGCACGTTAACTAAAAAATGCCTTTGGTGGATATTTTTGCAACACTACTTTTTTTTTTTTTTTAATTTAAGATTTTTATTGTGGATTGAGTGAAAGTTTACAGGGCACATCATCAGTTTCACATTCAATAATTCACATAACTTGTTTCATTACATTGATTAGA